GGCGTCGGGCCGCGCACCAGCGCCGCCGCGGGCTTTGTCCCGGGACAAAGGGGGCGACCGGGCGAGGCCTGGCCGGGGCGGCCTGACAATGGGGGCCTGGCGGGGCGGCGCTCGCTCCCTGGGGGACCCCGGGGCCTGTAAAGCCTGAGGACCCGGCACGGCGCAAGACCTGGATCCCGTCTGCCCCCCGGGCCCCGGACAGGGTCGGTGAGGGTGGGTGGGGGGCAGGGGCCTTGGAGGGCAGGTGTGGGTCACCCCGAAGCCCCTCGGCGAGGGAGGCAGCGCGTAGCCCTGTTTTCCTCCACCATTTTGCCCCACTAGTATAATGCTGGACCCTCCTTGTGTATCGCTTTCCCCCAAAGGAAGAAGCCGATGAATATGTTAAACTTGGCCACGAAGAGCAGCAGAAAAGGCTGCAGACGATCATAAAGAAAATTGACTCGGACTCAGATGGCTTTCTCACGGAAAGTAAGGACTGCCCTACCCAACTAACAATGGAGAAATCCCTTTTTAGGAGACAAACATTTTAAGCAGAGGTGTCTGTTGAATGTAGATTGCTAGCGTGCCAACAATTTGGAAGTACTGTGAGGGGGGAAAAGGACACAGAGTAGGTTTTATAACTGGACATCTTTAGACATGGGGTACCAAGGGCTGCTTTCTCCAGCTATTTATAAGTATCCTTGACCCTGTACTGTATGTGCAGGTCATACCTTGAGACACCCTCTTCATCACATCTTTTGTCAGTGTCAACAGTATGATTCATTTAAAATAAATACGCCCCAAACCTTCTTAAGGCAGTATGTAATTTATTGCTCCTTAGATACATCCTTCATCTGAATTTTAAGAATTTGCTTCTTTTTATAAGCAAGTAGAAAAAGACCTGTTGCACATGGATTGTGTTTATTGTAACAAAATGTTAGAGATGGTGGGGGCTCAGAATCATCTTGGCCTTTTCTCTTTATAGAGATGAAGAAATGATGCCCAGAGAGTTACGTGCCTCTTACAAATAAGTGGCAAAGCTAGAATTAGAATCCAGGTATCCTGCTCTTGATTCAGTTTTCAGTATCCTTCAGTTAAAAAAAAAATCTGAATGCTCTTGGGTAGGTTTTCTAGTCAGAAATGCACACAATATTAAAAAACCGTTCTAAATAAATTGCTGTGCAACTGTCTCTCTCCATTGTTTAATTCAAGCAATGAAGCCCTGTCAGCATTCCAAGTTGTTCTTCAAAAAAAATTCAGGTTATTATTATGACTGAAAGTTAGCTATTTTGCTTATATAACTTTTATCACTCAGCATCCAAGGAATAAATTTGCTGGAGAGAATTGAAGATGGGTAAGTTTAAGATGAGCTGTCAGTGGAGTATTCACATTAGTGCCCTCAGGAATATTAAGATTGTTTTTTCTTCTACTTAAGACAATAATGACAACAAAACCTTTAGCCTCTGATTATCCAATATAAAAAGACCCATCTTTGATTACCCTAGACTATAGGCAGAAAAAGTTGATTTGGAAGGCTATATAGTACCTGTCTGTCAGGGCTGAGATATATTCAAATATTTAAACAAAAGTTAGGAAAAAAGCCCAAATCTTAACTTTAGAGATGAGAAAAAAGCTTGAGATGACAAAGCTGAAGTAAACCCACATATCTGATTCCTGTTCCATTGTATTTTCTCCTATGTCACGATGATCTCTTTAAATAAACCAGAAGAGGCCGGGCTCTGTGGCTCAGCCTCTAATCCCAGCACTTTGGGAGGCCAAGGCGAGTGGACTGCTTGAGACCACGGGTTTGAGACCCTCCTGGGCAACTTGGCGAGACCTCGTCTCTACAGTAAATCAAAAATTAGTCAGGTGTGGTAGCGTGCACCTGTAATTCTGGCTACTTGGAAGGCTGAGGCAGTAGGATCACCAGAGCCCAGCAGGTCGAGGCTGCAGTGGCAGGGAGCGTGCCACTGCACTCCAGTCTGGGTGACAGAGTGAAACTCCAACTCAAAAAAATAAATAAACCAGAAGAAAGATTCATGCTTTAGGAGGACCCTCAAGATAATTTTGGTAATTTGCACTTTGAGGGCCAATGCTAGACTCAGATTCTTAAACGGTAGCAAAACTCAATAGACGCTTAGGTTCTGAAGCCACACAGGCTTGAATCTAGACTCTGCTACTTTTCAGCTGTGAAGTCCGGGAACTTGCTGAACCTCAGTTTCCTCAACCGTAAAATAGTGATCATTATAATTGCCTTATTTTGAAGATTAGGGACAATGTGTATAGAGGGACCTGATAAGTGGTTTACTCATTCTTTCCTCACAGATCTTGGTGTTCTTCCTTCCCATTTTTCCTATAATGCAGGATAGTAAATAGTTCCATGAGTAGATATTTAAAACTTGATCGAAAGTAGATATTTAAGATTTGGAACTTTTTTCCAATGTCTTCAGGTACCAAGTTAAGACACATAGCTATTGCAAGAAAGGCATAAAATTGCTACCCATAACTTGGTTGAAATTTTCTCCAGATGTTTTATGACATGTTTAAAGGAACTGTATCTCAAACTTCAGGCACTTGAATTACCTTTACACAATTTAGGCCATATCTACTTGCCATTTATTATTTCCCTAATATAGTTTTGATTCAACTCACATACAATTTATTTTAAAGGAAAACTTTATACTACTACCTTCATAATGAAAAACATTTTCAAGCCAGGCTCGGTGGCTCAGCCTGTAATCCCGCGCCTTTGGGAGGCTGAGGTGAGTGGATTGCCTGAACCCGCGGGTTCGAGACCCACCTGGGCAACTTGGCGAGACCTCATCTCTACAATAAATCAAAAAATCAGCCAGGCATGGTAGCACATGCCTGTAATTCTGGCTACTCGGAAGGCTGAGGCGGAAGGATCGCTGGAGCCCAGCAGGTCGAGGCTGCGGTGGCTGGGAGAAAAACACTTTCATCTAATGCATATTAAAATAAATAGTTATTCAAATATTTGTACTTTCTGAGAGATTTGTGATAGTTAGCAAAGGTTAGCAATTTGGGGGGATATTTAAAAAAGAGTAAAGTGTTCTTTTGGCCAATTGGTAATTCAATCAACAGATACTTATGGAACCAAGCACTTTTCTGGGCATCAGTGGACAAAACAGACCCAAACTAGGTTCTCATGGAGATTACATTCTAGTTAGTTCACATGCTATAAAGTCTTAGACTCTAAACAGCTTTCCCCACCTCCTACCCCTATTTCTATTAATGGAACTAAGCCAATTCTCACTTGTTAATGGCAAACATTGAAGATTTTGTCTTTTAGAGAAGGTTTATAAATCCTCTCTCTTGAGTATCAGAATTAGTGTTACATTCATTGTGTTCTGGGAAATTCTCATAGGTGAACTCAGTTCGTGGATTCAGATGTCTTTTAAGCATTATGCTATGCAAGAAGCAAAACAACAGTTTGTTGAATATGATAAAAACAGTGATGGTACTGTGACTTGGGATGAATACAACATTCAGATGTATGATCGTGTGATTGACTTTGATGAGGACACTGCTCTGGATGATGCAGAAGAGGAGTCGTTCAGGCAGGTAGGTACATGTGTATAAGCTGTTCCCTTGATCATAACAGTTCACTATCTTCCCACATGAATGAGCACAAGAGGACCTGAGGTCTTAGGCTGGATTGCTTTGTTCTCTAGAGAGTCACCTGTTCCACTGTAGCTGTCATTTTAACGGTTTCCTTTCTAGCCAGATTTAGGACTCTGATTCTGGATTGCCTAAATTATCCTTGCATCTGTTTTTCCCAACTGCATCATTTATTTGTCCTCATTTCCAGAGTTGCTTTTGAAATGTGTTTTGAATATGTATCTCAATATTTTAACATCATTGAACAACTTATATCATATTTACTAAGAAGATTATTGTGGCGCATTCCCATTTTTAAACACATAATTTTATTCTTTTTATTTTTTAATTTTTATTGTAGAGATTAGGTCTCACCATGTTGCCCAGGCTGGTCTCAAACCTGCGGGCTCTGTTAATCCTCTCGCCTCAGCCTCCCAAAGTGCTGGGATTACAGGCTTGAGCCACTGTGCCCCGCCAGTTTTTAAATTCATTTTTAAAAAAATTTTAGCCAGGCTCGGTGGCTCAGTCTGTAATCCTACACTTTGGGAGGCTGAAGTGAGTGAATTGCCTGGGCCCGCGGGTTCGAGACCTGCCTGGGCAACTTGGTGAGACCTCATCTCTACAATAAATCAAAAACTAGCCGGGCATGGTAGCGTGCGCCTGTAGTTCCAGCTACTTGGAAGACTGAGGCGGAAGGATCACCAGAGCCCAGCAGGTCGAGAGTGCAGTGGCCGGGAGCGGCCACTACACTTCAGTCTGGGTGACAGAGTGAGACTCCAACTAAAAAAAAAAAAAAAAAAATTTTAATTGTGGTAAAATACATACAGTTGGCCCTCCATATCTGTGGGTTCCTCATATGTGGATTCAACAGAGGATCTAAAATATTTTTTTAAAAACTGTACCTTGGTACTCAACACTTTTGTTTTCATTATTGTAATTCCTATCATATAAGTAATTTAGAAATGATTTTAAATATTCAGGTGGATGTGCATAGGGGTTACATGCAAATACTATACCATTTTATGTCAGGGACTTGAGATTTTGGTATCCAAGGGAGGTCCTGGGACCAAGACCTTATGGATATGGAGGAAGGCCTATATGACAAATTTGTCATCCTGACAAGTGTAAAGTATACAGTTCAGTAGTATTGAGTACATTCAGTGTTGCACAACCAGTCGAGCTCTTTATCTTGCAAAGCTGAAACTATACCCATTAAACAACTCCCTGTTCCCTCCTCCTACCAGCCCCTGACAACTACAATTCTACTTTCTGTCTGTGAGTTTGACTACTCTGGGTACATCATCTAATAGAAACATACAGTCCTTGTCTTTGTGACTGGCTTATTTTACCTAACATAGTGTCCTCAAGGTTGGTCCATGTTGAAGCATGTCAGAATTTCCTTCCTTTTTAAGACTGAATAATATACTTTTGTATGTATAGGTTGAATATCCCTAAATCTGAAAATTAAAATCTGAACTGCTCCAAAATCCAAAACTTTTTGAGCACTGTTATTGAGCATATCCAAAGAAATGCTTATTGGAGCAGTTCAGAATTTGGATTTTTGGGTTAGTGATATTCAACCAGTATCCAAAATCCAAAATACTTCTGGACCCAAGCATCTAGAATAAGGGAAACTCAACCTGTACATACCAGATTTTGTTTTCCATTCATCTGTTGATATACACTTGGGTTGCTTCAACCTTTGGCTGTTGTAAATAATGCTGCTATGAACATGGTGTATAAGTCTCTCTTTGAGATCCTGCTTTTGAGTCTTTTGGGCATATACCTAGAAGTGGAATTACTGGATCATATGGTAATTTTATTTTTACTTTTATGAGGAACTGCAGTACTGTTTTCCATAGTGGCTACACCATTTAACTCATATTTGAAGGTGTAGTATCATTATGTGTTGTATTGTATCTCATGGTTTAATTTGTTGAAGTATATACATCTTAATTAAGCAGAGCTGTGGAAGACAATTTTTATTTAGGAATCAGTAGGAACTTTCCAAGACTTCTAGGAAGTCTATTAACTAAATGAATTATCAACACAAATGACTATAAGCTATTTATATAGAAATTGCTATTTCAAATACTTTTGTATTTCAAAGGTAATTTTATGATTTATTTATATATTTTTTTGAGTTGGAGTCTCACTCTGTCACCCAGGCTGGCGTGGCACAATCACAGCTTACCAGAGTCTCGCCCTCCTGGGCTCAGATGATCCCTCTGCCTCAGCCTCCTGCATAGCTGGGACTGCAGGTGTGTGCCACCATGCCCAGCTAATTTTTTGAATTTTTACAGAGACAAGGTCTCGCTTTGTTGTTCAGGCTGATCTTGAACTCCTGGGCTCAAGCAATCTTCCTACCTCCTAAAGTGCTGGGATTACAGGCATGAGCCACTGCACCTGGTCTTCAATGGAAATTTTAAAGAATTTTAAAAATTTTATGGGTACATAATAGTTGTACATATTGATGGGATACATGTGATATTTTGATGCAAGTATACAATGTATAATGATGAAATCAGGATAGTTGGAATATCTACACCAATAATTTTTTTTTTTTTTTTTTTTTTTTGGAGTCTCACTCTGTCGCCCATACTGGAGTGCAGTGGCCGCTCCC